ATTCTAAATTTATACATACATAATAACATAGCTTCAAAACAGATAAAGCAAAAACTGGCAGAACTAAGGGAGAAAAATATGGATCCACAAGTATAGTTGGAGATTTTAATATACCTCTCTAAGTATATTTTAAAGGGTTAAAGTGATTTAGAAAATATTCTCTGATGATAGTGAAATTGAGCAAGAGATCCAAAACAGAAAGATAACTAGGAAATCCCCAAATGTTTAGAAATTAAGGAATATATTTTTCTAAATAACCCATGGGTCAAAATTTTAAAATTACATGAAAATATCAAGCTTCTAGCCAGCAAAAAAAATAATATTAATAAAGAGACAAGGCAAGTCACAGAATGGGAGAAGATTTTGCAATACGTATGGAAATATTTCAAACTGAATGGCAATGAAAATAACATATCAAAAGTTATTAGATGCAACTAAAATAGAGACAAAGAGAAATAGTTCACTACACCCAACAGGATGGCTAAAAAAAAATTTTTCACTAACAATACCAAGTTTTGGCAAGGATGCAAAGCGACTAGAACTTTCACACACTGCTGGGGGGTATGTAAATTGGTACAACCAACCACTTTGGAAAACTGGAAGTATCTGTCATAGCATGTGCATACCCTGTGACACGACAATTACACTCCTGTTACACCCAACAGATATAAGCACATATGTGCACCAAAAGACATGGACAGGAAAGCTCATGGCTTTATTTATAATAGCCAAAAAGTGGACAGAAAACAAATGTCCATTAACAGTACAATGAATGAATAAATTGCGTGCTTTATTCAGACAGTGAAATACCACTCAATCAATGAAAAAGAATGAACTGCTAATGCATATAAAAACATGGATGAATCTCACAAGTAGAATGCTGACTGGAAGAAGGCAGACACAAGAATACACACTTAATTCCAAAACTAATCTACGGTGATCTAAGTCCAAACAGCGGTTACGTTGCAGGGGGAGTGTGGGAAGAGTTCACTGGGGAGGGGTGCAAGGGAGGGTTCTGGAGTACCAATAACATGCCACATCTTGATCTAGGTGTGGTTACACAAGTTATACGTTGTAAAAATTAATCAAGCTGTACACTTAAGATTTGTGCATTTTGCTGTTACACATGTTATACTTTAATTCAAAAAAAAGTTTTTTAAAAGCAAAGAGATAATAAACATAAAATTCAGGTTAGTGGTCATTTCTGGAGGAGAGGCCAGAGGATGGGATAGGAGAGAAGCACACGGATGCTTTAAATGTACATCCATGATGCATACATACACTCTTTTGCATGTACCAAATATTATATTAAATGTTAATACATATTACTTTAGTGGAAACAAATTATCCCAATATTTAAAACCCATGTGCTGAACTTGGGAAGAATTTTTAAAGTTAATATAAATGTCTTTCGGTGATATTTAAATACAGGAAGACCATTACATTAATTTAATGTGTCCTCCTAGCATCATGCTGATTGCACCTTCAAGAGACCACTTTATTATGAGGTGGAGCAATAATAATGACAGGCATTATTGAGGATATACTGTCTGTTGGGCTCTGTTGTGAATGCTTTACATGCATTTAATTGTCATACAACCCTATGAGGCCAATACCATTATCACCCCAATTTAACAGATGGGGAAACACACACAGGGAGTTCAAGTGATTTGCCCATGGCCTCACAGCAGGCAAGCAGGAGAACCGGCATCCGAAGGCTGGTTTTGAATTGCAGTCCGGCTTCAGAGCCTCCTCACTCAACCTCTGCACTACTCTGCCTCCTGTAAGAGGCACGTCTCTGATTTCTGGGAGTTCCCAACCACACCCGACTCCTGACAAGGCCTGAAATGGAGCCCCAGAGTTTTCTAACACCTACTTCATAGAGAGGGGGCTGTAATGTGTCCATAATTGCAATGACAATGAATGACATTGTCATTACCACCAATAACAATAACAATAAGCATTAAGCCCACACTGTACTGGATTGCACAGTACGTTTAAAAGTCGCCATGATGGAACTGTTAACACGTTTCTTAATTCCAACCTTCACTAAGAAAGAAGTAACCTGGATAAATTATCTTTTCTCTCTGAACACTCTCCCGTCCTTTCCCGGTTTATGGCACCTCCCTCCTTAAACAAGGTATTGGATTTATTCATGATGTGTGTCTTACCTCTCCTCTACCAGGATAGGATTTGTTTCTGATCCTTCTTGCCTCATTTTGGTGCATGTTACTTGGACATAGCAGGTGCTTATCAAATATCTGTGAAATAAGTCCATACACGACAAATAAAGATGAGGTCAAACACCCCAATTCTTCGTAAAAAGCTTCCACATGTCCCGTGACCTTGCCTATCATATTCACTTCCGTATCCCTGGGACTTAGAAAAGGGCCTGTAAATTGTAAATACTAAACACCTGTAAGTTGGTAAATACTAAATACCAGATTTGGGTTGAATGAATGAAAATATGAAGGATAGATAATTCTCCCACATTGTAAAGTATCTGTACACCGTTCCTCATCTCTGTGAAAGGCCTCGTGGCCACTCAGATAAGTCAACACATGTATGAACTTAGAGGACTAAGGAATATGCTCCTGCACTGCTGGGTCTTAATGATGGAGTGGGTTTACAATAGATTGATGGGCAGCTGGCTGGAGAGAAAACCCTGCACACCTGCCGGAGCATGTGGCATGGGTGGGGGCACCTGTCTTCGGGATTTGCAGTGAGCACTTCTTACTGTACAGTCTGGAGAGGATGCAGATGAGTGCAAAAGTCTTGAGCATCTTTGAGAATTTTCTCTCTTTTTTTCCAGTTTTATTGAGATATAATTGACATATAACATTGTATAAGTTTAAAGTAAGTTTATTTATCGCAAAATGATTACCAACATAAAGTTAGCTAACACTTCCATCCTGACACATAATTACCATTTCTCTTTAGCGTGAGAACATTGAAGGTCAACTCTCATAGCAACTTTCAAGTATATAATACAGCATTGTTAACTATAATCACCATGCTGTACATTAAAGCCCCAGAACTTATTCATCCTATAGCTGGAATTTCATACTCTTTTACCAGTATCTCCCCATTTCCACCGACCCCTAGGCCATGGTAACTATCATTCTACTCTCTGTTTCTATGAGTTTGATTTTTTTAGATTCCATCTATACAAATATCATACAGTATTTGTCTTTCTCTGTCTGACTTATTTCACTTAACAGAATGCCCTCGAGGTCCATCCATGCTGTTACAAAAGGCAGGAGTTCCTTCTTTCTCATGGCTAAATGACATCCCATGATATATATCTCACATCTTCTTTATCTATCCATCCATTGATGGATGCTTAGGTTGTTTCCATATCTTGGCTATTGTGAGTAAAGCCACACTGACCATGAGAGGGCAGATATCTCTCTGAGATCCCGTTTTCATTTCCTTTGGATATATACCCAGAAGTGGAATTGCTGGATCACATGGTAGTTCCATTTTTAATTTTTTGGGGCCCTCCATATTGTTTCCCACAGTGGCTGCACCAAACTACATTCCCACCAACAGTGTATAAGGGCTCCCTTTTTCTCCATATCCTTGTCAACACTTGTTATTTCTTGTCTTTTTGATAACAGCCATTCTAACAGGTGTGAGGTGAATTCTCATGGTGATTTGGACTTGGATTTCTCTGCTGATTAGTGATGTTGAGCATCTTTCCACGTACCTGTTGGCAATCTGTATGTCTTCTCTGGAAAAAAGTCTATTCAGTCCCTCTGCTCACTTTTTAATCAGGTTGTTTAGGGTTTTGGCTATTGAGTTGTATGAATTCTTTATATACTTTGGATATTAACTTCTTATCAAATATATGATTTGCAAATATTTTCTCTCATTCCATTGGTTGCATTTTTACTTTGTTGATGGTTTCCTTTGCTGTGCAGAAGCTTTTTAGTTTGATGTAGTCCCACTTGTTTATTTGCTTTAATGGCCTTTGTTTTAGGTGTCAAATCCAAAAAATCATTCCCAAGACCAACATCAAGGGGCTTATCCCCTATGTTTTCTTCTAGGAGTTTTATGGTTTTAGGTCTTACATTACAAAAAGTCTTTCATCCATTTTGAGTTGATTTTTGTGTATTGGTGTAAGCTAGAGGTCCAGTTTCAATCTTTACAATTTTCTTTCTCTGTGTGGTAAGAAATCACCACAAGCTTCCAGGCTAGGTGGCAAGCTCTGTGGTGGGGTGAGGGGACTAAGTTCCCTTCTTCAGTCTCCCCTGCTCCACTTTCATCTCTTGTTTCCTTCTGGGAATTACTCCTCTAGCAATGGGGAAGGCGTGTGACGGCCCTTTTTAAATATGAAGCATCATGAGTCAGGGCCAGCTATGCCTTGGGGCACTTCTGAAATAGACATTTGGGGAAAGACTGTTTCTTCCTTCCCTTAAAAAAGCATGCCTTGTTCTTCCAAGCTGGATGCTTGACCTCCTTCCCCACTCCTACCCCTCCCTTCACCTCCTACCCAGCCCCTCCTACAAGCCCAGAATACAGCTGTCTTGTCTCCTCTTCTCCCTATTCTGCCTTTCTTTCTGGTCTCCAGTGAGCGAGAGCCAGAGCTTGATTTCAGGAGCAGAAAGAACCCACAAAGCAATGCACAGGGCCTGCGAGAAATGTCCTGGAACAAAGTGTTTCTTCAGGACTCACTTGGCAGAGTATCAGACCCTGACACTCCAGTCCAGTTTGTCTGTTCATATCCTTTTATTGCAGAAGCTCGAGTTCTGGCTATCAGGTACTTTGATTCATCTCTTAGCAAAGCCCTGAGCTTCCATGTCTTCCCCACCATCATTTCCTTGGCTAAGTGACATCTGGGGGCTGCCATGGAGGAGGAGAGCTGAGGAAACAGCAGCCTAACTTTGATCATTCTCTGACTCTGAGACTCAGAAACCAGTGTCTGAGAAATTTCATCCAGACATCTCCTTGTCTTCCTGAAGCATCTATTCACTCTTCACATTCTGGGTGAGTTTTTATGGCACCTGTCTCAACTGCTTCCGATCTCCTCTTCCAGTTGCTTCTATTTGGGCCTATTTTCTCAGGCTCTCTCTCCACCACCTCTTTTCTTTCTATCTCCTTGTGTCTGTGTCCCGCTTCAGACCTCTTCTTTCGCCCCGTCTACATTCGTCTGTTCTGCCTCTGTCTCTGGTGCCTCCTCCTCCATTCCCCAGAGGACTCTGGGAAATGCCTGAGCGAGCCACGCTCAATGCGCGAGCGCTTTCATCCCGATCCAGGTGGCTACAATCCAGTACAGGATTTACGGTGCCCTGACCCTGAGCCGTCAAGAAGGAACAGCCAGATTAATGGGGTGGGCGGGCTGGGGTAATAATCGTTTGTTTGATGTGACAAGCCTGATAGGCGTTGATTTACTTACAGACTGATGGGCTTTTAATTGAGCACCTCCATCCCAGTCACTTCAAAGGCAGGGGAAGTTGACAAGGGGCCCCTTTCACGGAGGGTTCCCGGTGACTGACAGCCCCCTCTGCTGACGCTCCCCTCGGCCCAGGATTGGGCCCGGCAGCCTTTCCCCGGCCCTCTGACAAAGTAACACATTTTCCGTGTAACTCAGAAATGGCCTTTTGTCTGCTGCCAGGAAAGGCAGGCCCTGTTCGCAGGGCCCCGCGCCTCCCAGAAGGGTGAGGAACGGAGAGGAGTGAGTGATGCTGAGACTGGCCTGCCTGGGAGGGGACCGAGGAGGAGGGCAGGGTGGGGATTCTAGGCCTTCAGCGTGCCCCCGAATGGCTACTTTGTTCTGAAGCTTTGGCTGGTCCAGCCCTCTTCCACCTCACTTTTTCCTCCCTGTCCTCACTTCCTCCCGCTTTTTAAACCCTTCTCTTCGCTTCATGCTCCCGGCTCCCAGGCCTCTTCCTACTCCTCCCCTTTCTCCTCCCACTTCCTCCTTCCTTCTCCCTCTCTGGAAAGGCCAGAAAAGGTGGAGTCAGCTTGAGTGGCTTCTGCTGTCGCTGCAGTGGTCTGTTAACACCAGGCCCCTCCTCCTCCGGGACTGCCACCCTTCCCCTCCCAGGCTGCAGGCTCTGAGGCCTTCAGACCAGGGCACCCTTGGATGTGGTGGCCAGGCCTCCAGGGGCCACGCCCTCCAGTGGGCAACACAGATGAAGCGAGTAAGGCCAGGGACTTGGATCCAGTGGGATTTCCAGCCCATTCTTGTTTGGTCTAGAAGATGCTTTATTTATATAGGTTTTATTCTGTTTGAAATATGAGAAAGCATTCCTTATCAGGGAAGTTCTGTCAGGATGGATCTGCTTTGGCTTTATTTATTTGCTTTGTTAAGTACTGATTTATTGGCTGCTGAACTTCCCTGATTCCTTCAAGAAGATATGCCCAAAGCTCTCTCACAATGGCAACTCATTGCTGCCGGCTGGGCCAGGGTTGCAGGAGTGGAGGCAATGAGGAGTGAAGGTTAGAACCCCATCCCCACCCATGAGGCAGAGTCCCTGAACTCCAGAGTGGGCTCCTGCAGCCCCCAAGCTTCCTCACTAGGTCTGGGGTCAATGAGACCCCAGCCAGGAGGAGCTTCGAGTTCTAAGTCAAGCCGCTTTAGTGATGGCTAGAGACTGGGCGAGCCCCATGCCCAAGTTCATACAGCCAGTGAGGAAATGAAAGAGCAAGGACGTGGCTAGAAAGACAGCAATAATAACTCACATTTGCATAGCATTATTTAGTTGGAAAGTACTTTCACTTATATTATCTTAATTGATCTTTTAACAACTGTGTGAGGTAATGAGTGCAATGTCATTATGCCCATTAGACAGATGATAAAATTGAGACTCAAAGTATAACGTGCTCCTTGAGGCAAAATCGGTCCCAAACCCAGGTATTCTCCTTCCAAGTCTGCTCCTTCCTTCCCCACACCTCACTGCATCCCGATGACTATTGGCCCACTCCTCCTGAAGCTGCATTTGCTTACTGCAAACGGGTGGGTCATTCATTTCCCTTCCTTGTTTTCCCCTTTTCAAGTCCCCCTGGCTTTCACGTTTCCCCACCCTCCTGGTTTGGGTGTCCAGGGACAGAGCCTCCAGCCCTAGTATTGAGAGGCCAAACCTCTCCTTAGTCGCTGCCCCTCAAAGCCACTTCCAAACCTTGCCTGGAGCGCGATGCTCCCCTGAAATCTGCTGCCCCCAGCTCTCATCTAGTGTCTGTAGAGGGAATGGGCATGGTGAAGCGCCTGTGCTTTCTGTGCTCTGCTATTGCAGTGTGTCCGCTAAGGCTGTTCACTGGCTGTCATGTGAAGATCCACCCAACAGACTCCTTCAGAGGCAAGGAAAGACGTGTCTCTCCTGACCCGCTGGAAGGGAAGTTTCTACCACAGAGCCAAGCCCTAGGGCAGAGGCTTACAAAAAGGAATCCTCTCTGCGTTCTCTGCCTCTGTGCCTCGGATGTATTTCCACTGATGCACTTAACGCCCGAGGCACAATGCTGTGTTTACGTGTTGGTCCCCTCACTGGAGAGTCCAATGTTTTAGGGCAAGTACATGTCTTTTCATCTCATATCCCCAGTGCTCAAGAGAGAAATTTTGTTGAAATGATTGTTGCTGAAATACTTGTTGAAAGGCAGTATAGTGTAGTGGTCGAGTCAAATAGCCTATGATCACAGTCCCAGCTCCGCTGCTTGTCAGCTGTAGCCCTTGGACAGGTCATTTAAATGTTCCATGCCTCAGTTTACTCATCTGTAAAATGGGACAAAAAGAACACCTAACGTTATTGTGAGGATTGAATGAGTTGATATCTTCCATCGAATCTACAATGCACCATTATTTCAGGTCCAAGAAAGAAAGAAAAAAAAATGCTACGAAATAGTCTGTGACACAATGCTTTTAAAATCAGCGTCAGAGATGTTAAATGTGAGAAAATGCATCTCAGAATTGATGAAATATGTCTCTGTAAAGCACTTAGGAAGTAACTGCAGACAGTGCGTGCTGAGCGAGAGCTACTGGCGTTGTTGAACCGCATTCTCACAAGAACTCTATGATGGGTGAGTTAATCCTCATTTTACAGATGAGGAAACAGAGATTCAGGGAGATGAAGTAGCTTGACCAAGCTCACAGAGCCAGGGAGCCCTCAGCAGGCATTTAAACCTGCCTTTGAGGTGCAATAATCCACAGTTATTACAATAGCTGGCAGCCGCCCACCAAGCTAGCAGGGAGTTAGGAGCTGGGTTTTGTTCTCAATTGCATTAGCTTTCCTTAATCTAAGTTTTTCCCCTCTGGTATGATTACTCTGCCTCTTCCTCCCCCTCCTCCTTTGTACTTGGCTCTGATCTTAATTCCTTTTCAGTTAATGGCTTCAGGTTTTACTGTATCTCCGTTTTGAATTGTAAGCGACCTCAAGTGTTTTATGGAGCTAGGAGGGGTATAAATAAATATAAAGGTAAAAATTGCCTTTAAAGATGACACATAGCAAGAAAAAGTAAGAGAGAGAGTAAGCCCACGATGGCACGTGGGGATATATGGGCGCCGTGTGGACACCCTGAGGAAGTGCCCACAGCGCCCCCTCCAGTCCCACCGCTGAGAGACTGATGTGAGGTGTCCTGAGAAAATGCAGGGCACTCAGCTTGTCCCTCAAGCTGGGTTGTCTGTCACACCAGTGACCCAGTGAGACACCAGGGGTGGAGAGGTGGAGAGGGTAGGAGGGAATTTGGGGGGGGGGGGCGGGCAATCACTTTTCTAAGACCTTATCTGGCTCTGCTTGGTGCCCCCCAAAAAAGAAGCAGCTACTTGACAGATTGTAAGTTTCTAGCTCACTCCTGGAATGAGTCTGAGACAAAGTAGGGTGTCCCATTAGATCCAAATGGAAGCAGTGTAAAAATGTATCACCGTTTTTAACATCAGAAAGGGAATCGCCAGGAGGTATTTTATTTGGGGTTTTGTAGAGGTCTCCCCAAAAGCCTAGTGGCAGCCCAGGACCCATGGCTGTCCCAGGTCCCAGAGAGATGCCACTTGCCACTTCTGCGTCATTACCCCAAGTGAGGAACCCCAATATTCTACTTCTTCCACTAAGCTTGTGATGCTCATGTTAGAAGATAAGGAATAAAATAGGGCACAGTATGGTACTGGGTTTCTCCCTCCCAAGTGGGGAAGCCATGGGCTGGCTAGAGGGTTCTATTTGTGAATTTGCTTGGGTCTTTCAGGATAGGATCGGGGTTGAGAGGGTTTTTCCAAAACTATTCTCACTCTCTGGCACGCCCTGAGACCTGCTTGAGTCAAGAGTGGAGCTGAAAGCTGGGCGAGGAAGGGAGTTTTAAAGGACAGCTGCGTTAGGGAGCTTTGCCATGGGAAGCAGAGGGAGCATGCCATCCCTCAGTAGCCCCGAGTGGAGCCCACTGTTCTTCCCTCAGGACCGAAGAAGATGTACTCTGTGCTCAGATCCACCAGACAAAGAAAGACATATCAGCCAAGGAGGGGAAGGATGAAAATTGGTGTTCGGCTATTCATTCACGTACGTGTGGTTCATCTCCAAGGCTCCTAAGAAAGCAGCAGCACACCAAATCTCTTCCAACACCGTCTGTATCAGAGCCTCCTGTGAGATAATCCTCTTAATGGAATATTTAAGAAATCGGATATAAATCACCAAGCTTTTATCTCACCTGAAGATTCATACTCCCTGGGATGTGTGGTGTATATGGCTATCTCCATATAGATGGTTGCAGATGCCTTTTTGAGAGAATGTTGCCATGTTTTTAGGCTCAATATGTTTTTTCAATATCTAAATCTATTTCTTTTCTAGAGATATGGGAGCAAAAATATAAATTTTCGAGATCAGAGCCCAGAAAATAGATGCACCTAGAGACATTTCTAAATTAAAACACACATCCCTGGGAAAAACCTTTTTTGTCATTGGCAACCAACAAAAACCCCTATTGTTATGACGAGCTCGTAAATAACTTGACTTTGGCATATGCTTTTGTACCAAACAGAAGATGAATAAATTAAATTTGATTTACAACCTTTTTCATTTTTATTAGCACTGCTCTGGAGAGTTTATGTAAGGGACGTGCCAGAGCAGTTATGCCAAATGTTTTAAGGCGTCGGTATTGATATTATATAAATTAAGGTGTTTTAATTTGCATTCTTTAATTAACTAAATACTGGCAGAAAAATAAAACACAAGGGCAGCCCTGACTTATTGCCTCTATTAAACTGCTGACGTCTCTGAAAAGACGCTTTAAGTAATCCAATTCATGCAGAGTGGGGGAGGGAGGGGTATTAACACTCTCTTATTTGGCAAAATATATTGGGGTTTAAAAAACTCATATCCTGCTTTGCTTGCAGGGTAGTTGAGGGGGTGGGTGTGTTCCAAGAAGCTCTGAATTCATGTCCCCAAGGAAGAAGTTGACCAAATGCTCTGACTATCCATCTTGCCAAGGTCTGAGCTCAAGGGTAAGGGGGCAGCCCAGCTCTACCACTGGGCATGAGCACGTTCCTGGATGCAGGGCCCTGCAGACCTGGGCTGGCTGCCTTTTGCCGCCCAGGGCTGTATCACCACCAACCTGGAAAAAGACAAGGTGGTTGAATTAATCAATCCAGTGGATCCCATATCAACATGATCATGTCTAGAAACCAAGGAGAGAAATAGTCAGAGATCCTTCAGTGAAATTAGCAGCTTCTGCTCAGTCCTTCCCATCACACAGACCCCCACTCCATTAAAAGAAAAAAAAAGATGTGCCAGGGGGCCAGCCCAGTGGCATAGCACTTAAGTTTGCACACTCAGCTTCGGCAGCCTGGGGTTCGCAGGTTTGAATCCCCAACATGGACCGACGCACTGCTTATCAAGCTATGCTGTGGCAGGCGTCCCACATATAAAGTAGAGGAAGATGGGCACAGATGTCAGCTCAGGGCCAATCTTCATCAGCAAAAAGACGGTTGGGGGCAGATGTTGGATCAGGGCTAATCTTCCACCAAAAAATAAATAAATATAAAAGATGTGCCAGGAGTACTCTAATTCCTTCCCACGTGCCCTGGGTCCCGTCACCACCTCCAGAGACCTTTTTTAAATTCTCTCTTACTATAGAGACAGTAGCCTCTTTCTCGTCTAAGTTCATTCTTCCTTTTCCCTACTATCTTGATTCTTGATTTTTGCTCTCTGTTCCTCCTCTCCTGTAGGGTCAGGGTTAACACTGGGAAGGTCTCATCTTCTATAATTTTCCCTCCAGACTTTTAGGGAGGAACAGCTATAAGGAAAAGATTACAACTTCAAGTTATTGGCCATAGGAATGAGATTGTTCCTCAAACACAGGTGAGAACATTTTACTTCTCTTCCCTAAACCCACAGGGTTTTCCCATCTGTATAACAGCCTGTACTGTGCTCCTGCCATTCTGAGGGCGTCCAGCTTGCATTTCCAACTAGACTGGAAAGCATGATGTCAAGGGCAGAGCTCTAGTTGAGCTGAGTTGACTAAAGACATCGCACAGAGAGAGATGGGGGTGGAAGCTGAGTTCCCCTGTCTCCTGGCCTCCACGTTGCCTTCATATGGCATTGTCTCCTTTAAGAAAGCCCCCTAAGAGGCAGTTCATGGGCACCCCCAAGCCCAACTGCCCAGGCCTCTGAGTCCTGTCATTATGCAATGTCCCTACCCCAGCTTTCCTCCTGGATCTGTTTCTTTATTTGCTCCAGGAATAAAGGATGAATTCCAACTTTTAATAAGGAAAATACTGTTCTCCTTTGCCAGCATCCTATCCCCCTCTCCACCCCCCCAAAAAAATCGCACTTTCTTGTCGTTTCCCATCTTGCAGCTCTGTCAGTTGTTTTAAAACAACTGTTTTAAAACATGTCTCCTGTCATAAATAAGATTGTCATTATGCATTTTGACTGCAGTGGTGACAAATGCACCCAGCTTAGAGAGAGCAAGGGACCTGTGAGAGCTCCTTCAGGCCTGATGTGGCCTCGTGGTTTTTAACTACTGTAGCTTTTCTGGTTTTGGTTGTTTGGGTTTGTTTTTTGAGTCATTTGTTCATTAATTTATTTACTTTAAAAAGATTGATGAGAAAAACAAAAACAGCCTGGCAGAAACAGTTGTGCTGAACTTAGCAAAGACAGGCCTTGGGAGACGTGGAGGGGCACCCAGGATACCTGAGGAAAGTTCCTCAAGATGTTAGAATTTTACTTTAGACAGCCTGGAATGTATGTCTATCCTGATTCATGGAGCCCGTCAACACTCCGCCCAATCCCAATGGTTCTTCCCAGTGTTACAGGGTCAAGGTCACTCACAAAAAGTGAGCTTTGACTCAGTGGCCCCAGGAGGCCCAGGCCTAGGAGTGAAAGTGAGCAGACAAAGGAGGACTCCTGTTGTGAGCCTTTTCGACAAGAAGCTGCCTGCACTAGAATGCCTGGGGAACGGGCATGTGCTGCTGCATTTTTTTTTCTTGGCAATTGGTTGATAAAGCAGAAAACTCATCATCAACCCTCGTCGAGAAATCATATATGCAAGGCCTTTCATACCTTTGAACTCGTAGGTAATACCTATTCAAAAATAAAAACAAGAACAAAATGAAGACTTATCTGCTTTGCTGACACTACCAACAGTAATTCTTGATTTCATGATTTGATGTCTTCCAATGCTTCACAGGCCTCCTCCTGGAACTTCATAGTTAGGACTGGAGCTGATGAACCTCTCCTGACACCACCAAAACCATGGGATGTATCATCTTTGACACGAACCTTTGCCTTTTCACGAGAATGAACATAAAAGGTCTAGATAATCCAGAGGACTCGTTAGGGTTCACTTGTTGGAAAGTATGCTATATTAAAATATGTATTTGTCAATATCATGGATTCTCTTAGGCCAGACTTGATTATTTCTCTCCTCCTCTTTCCTCTTCTTCTACTAAACAAGGGAGAAGGAGGAAGTATGAGAAGTATGCACGTTTTCTTAAATGCAAAGATGGAAATGGAACCCTTTATGAGCCTTCAAAGTTCTTTAAAGGAATATGATCAGAAGGTCCCAGAGGTACTTCCCAGGATTCGCTGCTTGAGTCCCCCACTGAACTTCTAACTCACTCCAAGGCTATCCCACCAGCTTTCTTAAAAGAGGCTTGTTTGGAATGCATATGGCATTGGACCCAGCAATTCTACTCCTAGGAATTCATCCTATGTAGTTATACCAGCACAGATGGAGAATTATATATATTATTATATATATACATACTTATACACATACATATATACATAAGTTATTCCCTGCAGGAGCAAAAGATGAGAAACCATCTAAACATCCACAAGTAGGAGACCAGTCAAATAAACTGTGGCACATCCATGTAACAATGCCATGAAACGGAAAAAATAAATTCATAAAACACAGCAGCCTGTGATGCAATCTCCAAAATATATTAATTTTTTTAAAAAAAGCAAGTGCAGAACAGTTTGTAGAGTATGTCACTGTTTGTATATAAAAGAAGGAAGGAAGAGATATGTATTTGCTGATATATGTACAAAATACCTTGGGAAGGATGGACAGCAAACTCATGGCATCGATGCCCTGGGGAGAGAAACCAGACAGCTACAGGGAGGTTTTCTCACTGTACAGTTTCCTAGCTTTGGAACTGCTGTCATGAGAATGCACTTCATCATAAATAAAGAAACTCATTTTTCAATAAAATAAAAAATAATTGAAATCACTCTTAAAGGTGATTTTTGTTTTGTAAATCCCCGCTCTGGATGGACCACTACACTTCTATCCCTCTGGCCTTTGGTTCGGTTAGGACCCTGCCTCTCAGGTTTCCTGCTCTAAGCAGAGGCTGGCATGAGGCCACCAAAATAAACATTCCTCGAAATTGTTCCGACAGCTTGGAATTTGGTTTTATCAAACACAGCAGTGATAACTGAGCCCCTGCCCAAGCAGCTCTCCCCTTGTCTCTTGTTGTGTTTGTTGAAAGGAGTCTGGAGCTGCACATCCCAGCTAGTTGGGAACCCAGCCTCGAAGGGGGCAGTTTTGGCAAGTTGAGAGTCTTATCCACCAGAAGTGGGGGTCATAGAAACATCACCACCTTCATGGCTGAAACCCACGGAAGGGTCAAAAGCACGTGTGACACCAGCCCTGGCAGCTGAGACACTCATAGTCTGCCACCACCAAGATCTTCCAGAGGGGAGGACCTGGGGTGCCCACTGGTTCCAGCTGCTGGAAGCTCAGCGCATGGGGGCGGGATGCTTGGGTAAGCCTGGTCCTGCTTCTCTTTCAGGGGCCCTTTGCTCTGCTCTTCGACTCCCCTCATGCCCAAACGAGAGATGGTGCATGAGCACACCCGGCAGGGTTCATACTGGCACCCAGAAGTTGCTCAGTAAGCGTTAGTGGAATCTGGATTTAACCCTGAGTAAATGCACCAAGAACAGTGAGTAACTAAACTACAGAGTACTAAGCAGGATTCAAGTTAAGGCCTCCTGCTTTTTTTTTTTTTTTTTTTTTTATCTGCAAAAGCAGCACGCAGATACCCAAAGGAAAGGGCCGTCCTGCCTCTCCGGAGCAGGGAACATGTATACCGGAGAGGTGGGAGTCGCCAGGGGCCAGTACCTGCTATGGGACAACGTGAGGCCGCACCTGCCAAGGGACTGATAAATAGTAATTGAATGAATTAAGTCAATTCAGTTCAATTAATTAAATGAACGTTCCTCTTACTTCCTTTTGTGCCTCAGTTTTCTCTCTACCATATTCTCATTCCTGAAGATGAAAGGAAATTCCTGATGGTGAAAACCAGCCCTCTGGGAAACGGCAGAAGTCATTTGTTTCAGATTCTCCGGCTGCTCTCCCTGCTCTAGGCCCCTCTGGCCCTCAGTGCTGCACTCAGAAGACTGGCTCAGGAAACAAGCACTGGGATTGGCCATTGGTTCTGCCACTTTCTCGCAGTGTAACTTGGGCAAGTTACTTAACCTCTCTGGGCCTCCGTGCCTCAGCTACAAACCAGGCCTAGTAATAGTACCCACCTCACCGGTTTGTCGTGAGAAGTAACTCAGTTATTATATGTAAGGAGCTCAGAACCATGTCTGGCACACAGTAAGCACTCAATAAATGTCATTATTACCCTGGGCGAAACAGTCTCTGGCTGCTAATCACAACTGAGGTGTTGGCAGATTACTGAGGAATGATTCCTCCCGGCAGTATTTGCAACTTAAAAGAGGAATCTTCAAGAACCTTGAAGGCCCAAAGGAACAAAGCGGTCCAGGGTGAATGCCCAGGGCTAAGGTTGATGTATGGGGCGGGGCAGATGAAGCAGGAGAACTTCAAAAGCTCACCTACTCACCTACTCGCAGCCCCCTCTCCCCGCCAGCCCTGCCTATCTCCCCGAGGGCTGAGAGCTGATAAATGAAACCACCTCTTCAAAGCACCCTCCTCAAGGACCCGGATCAAACACGGGGCTGGAAGATAAGCTTCAGTCTACATCTCCTTTTGTCCGTTCCTTCCCACCACATCTCCAAAGGAGATTCTAGAGGGAGGAAAAGTAGTTAATTCCTCCCGCTTTTATCAAAAGGAGGTGCCTCCCCATCCACGGGGCAATCAGCGGCGATAGAGAACCAGGGAGGGAGCGAGGAAGACCTCTTCCAGGCACTCTGCCAGCGGTGGCTGTGTGACTTTAGATTCCCCCAGAAGCTCTCAGAGCCAGGGTCTTCATCCATCAAAAGACATAAAAACACCTGCCCAAAATAACTCTGAAAATTGTTGCAGGACAATGAACACAAACATGTACTGGGGAAAAGATACTTTAACATGCTTATATAGTTAACATTTTGAAATATACAAAGTCATTCTCCTAGAATCTTTTTGGGAATACAGAGTGAGATGCGATACCAATCAATAGCCCTCTCTATGTAAAACTCTCTTTCATTCATCAACAGACATCCATTGGGCACTCACTGCATTCAGACTGCCTGGATTCACACCCCAGCCCCACCTCTTAGCAGCTGGGGTTTTGGGCAAGTTACTTAACCTCTCTGTGCCTCCATTTCCTCCTCTGTGAATGGGGGTAATGATAGGACCTACCTCAGAGGGCTTCTGTAAGGATTAAATGAGAGAATGCATGCAGAGTGCTTATGACACTGCTTGGCTACCGTGAGAATGATACTTAAACTCCCCACTAGGCAATAAGAATACAAAGAGGATGAGGACAATACAGAAGCATTCACAGTCCAGTGGGAGAGTGGACAAGTAAACAACGACAGATGCCATGTGATAAGTGTAATAATAGAACATAAGACAAACTGTGAGAACATGGAAGACAGAGCTACTCTAGTGGGCTGGCTGTTCTCATTTGCCCCCACTGTTCCTCTGCCCGTCTGACCCTCTCATGCCCGAAGCTGGGTCTGCAGCCTAGGGATGGGGCAGACGCAGGAAGCGCCTCGGAAGGCCTGAGCACAGTGCGCCAGATCAGGGCTCCTGGCCAAGACAGTAATTGCCAGCCGCTGAAAGATATTAAGCGCCAGGGAGGAAAACCAAGTTCTCTATGAGGCGGACTTTTCAGAGTTCTTACAGCTTGTAAAAAAAAAAAAATGTAAATACTTACCCAGTGAGATATTATTTCATGTTGTTGCCATTAGAGTTTGAGTGTTATGCAGAGAGAGACGATCATTCAGGCAATTCCGCCTCAGCGAGGACTGAAAACTCCACATTAACCCCACACAACAAATCTACCAGCTCCAGCTCTCAACCTGACTCAGGCATTTTCTCCCGGGTGGCGAGTTTTATGTAAATTGAAATTGCGAAAAAAAATCTATAAATATTCAGAATTTCCTAAAGGATTTTCTTGATGGTTTCCAGGGGGCATTTTTTTAAAAGACAGATTTGACTGGAGGCTAGCAGAGGGGGTGACTCTCATTTCCAGAGAATTCTTGGATATCTTGGGTCTTCCGGTCAGTTGGCAACGCTGAGACCCTCCAGATCCGTTGCTGCCATGCTCTTCAGAGCTGCTGCCCCACAGATGACTCGTGCCTCACAACCCTCTTTACCTGGGACTTTCTTAGTGCCAAGCACTAAACATGTGACATGCATTGTCTGCTTCGGGCCTCCTGACTTTGAGGTGGCCACTCTTACATTTTGCACATGAGGACCCCGCAGCTTATGGAGGTTAGCTTGCTGGGGACCACACCAGCGGTGTGGTTCAGAGGCCTCCCTCCAGGAGACCACACCCCAAGTGACCAGGCTGCTACTCACCAGTCATGTGACTTTGGGCAAGGGACTAAGTTCTCCACGCCTCACTCTCTTCAGCTGATAATAGTACCTGATGCTTATCACATGCCCCCACACAGAATCGTTATTCTTCACCACAGTGGCACAGGGCAGTCGCCAGCAGCGCTCAGCCCTGTCCTATACTAACAGTGCTGTTCACTCCCAGGGCAATCTGAGAGGGCCTGGATAGAGGGAGATCCCGTAACCATACATCTGCCACTTTTCTGCAAGGGGAGGATGTGTGCCATGTGCCCTGTGTGACAACGTCTTGCACAGACTTTTCAACCGCACCCCTAGCACAATGCTTTGCCCACAGCTGGCCCTCAATAATAGTGGCCCAACTGAATACTGAGCCTTATTCTCCAGGTGACAAGCCATTCCTTTGAAAGTTGTCCTTGCTTTAGGCCACTAGGGCCCCTTTTAGGACTCTGTGTGGGTTAGCAGTTCAGCTAAGTGAATGTCAAACTCTGATTGTAATAATCATCTAGTGGTCCTTTAATTAGGCCTCTCGCCTAAGTATGGTGTTCCATTCTCTCTCCCAAGGTAAACGGATGGATCCGGCCAAAGGAGCCCTGCTGCCCTCACCACCACCCAGAAGGGAAGGGTGACCCCACTCCTTTGCTAGCATTTTCCATTGTGTGGGGGTGGGGTGGCGGGCAGGCCGGTCTCCACCTCCATGCTGTCTGGCGCCCACCGCTCCTATCAGTGATTACTGCTGTGAGCTAGGGAGTGGGGTTTTTTTAAAGATCAAATTCCACACCCTCCACCCCGAGCCTGGCTGTCCTGTCCTGGCCTCCTCCTTCCTTTCATCCGCTCACTACCTTTTTCTTCTCTTTTCCTCTCCAAACAGAGAGTACGTATCCTATCATCTTCTGTTCTTCTCCCTCTCTCTTTTCTACTGCCTCCTGCTCCTCTTTTCCTTCCAAATTCCTAAACGCCTTTTCTCTCTCCCCCTCCTCTTTCCTCCCAACTGATTTCTCATTAATCATTCCTAACACACATCTGCTGGGGTCCTAGAAGGCTTTCTCGGCGGGCTTTCACAGCTGGGCTGGTTATAATAATCAAGAAGGAGTCTTTCATCTTTTACTGTCTCCTAGGTCTCCCCTCTTCCCAGCTCTTCCTCCTGCAAGGTGCCCAAAGGCCCACCCTTTCCACTCTGGAAGGCTCTCTCCTGCTCACCGTCTGCATAGCAGTCTCCCAAAGGCCAAAGGGCCCTCTAGGTTGAAGCGGCCCTGCAGTGGACTCTTAACGTGGTGTTGGCAGTGACAGTGATGTCAGACTGCATAGAGGCTGGCATGAGAAAAGCTACGGGGTGGGGAAGGATAGAGACCACCACAATCAAATAACTGGGATCGCTCCCCGGTCTCGTATCCCTCTTGCCACAATATGGAAGACATCTCCCACTCAAGGCATCCCTTGGCATTCCTCTTAACCTGTGTAATTTCTAAGAGATCTATAAATACCACAAAAAAAAAAAAAACAGCACAGATCCAGGGAGTAAATTGAGTTTAATGTATGATTGATATGGCCCGGGAGTGGTGCATGCTGTCTTTACTGAGCATGATAAAGGTGCGTGACCGCTATTTGTTATTTCTGTGGTAGCTATTCCTTTCTGTTTGAAGAACCCCTTCGAAATCATCTATCCCCATCTTGGGTTCTCATGCTGTCTCAAGGCGCCGCAGAGTCAGGGACGAGTAGTCCTGGAGCAACCTGCCCCGAGAGACAGGCCTGACAATCCGAGTGATGGATTGGGGCTGGGAAAGTGGTACTCGAAGCGAGGCAGTGACACCAGCGCGCCTCCACTGGCCGCCGAGAGCACGGAGAAGTGGTCTCCCCAGAGGCCGACGCACAAAGGACCAGCTTCACCTTCTGACGATCGCGGACTGGGAACTTCAATGTCAGGACTATGACTATGTAAAACCTCTGCCAAGTGCGAATCTGGCAACGCACACTTTATCCCAAAGGCGCGAGAGGGAGCTAGGGGAGGAGGACATTGTTATTTTTAATTAAAAGTTTTTATTCCGAAATTTCCCTGGGAAAAGGTAGGGAACCCTCCCCCCAATCCCGCGAGGAGGGGGCCGCGCATCTCTGAGTTCGTATAGACCTCAGCACTTAGAGATCTTCTCCTCCTCTGGGATACTGGCCTCTCCAGTGATCCTGTGTCGCCCCAAAACAGCAACTAAGCGCGGTGCAGTGAAGGAATTTTACGCCTCTAAACAGGATACGGTAACAAACCTGAAACACACCCAAACACCAAACCTATAAATCAGCGCGCAGACACAGCGCGCCGGGCGCATAGAGGGGCGCGCACAGCCTAGGGTACCGCGCTTCACCGCGACCATCTCACCCCGAAAGGCAGTCCTCAAACTTGCAGGCTTCGGACAGGACTGGCTCTAAGTTGTTGGAGCGGTTCGGAGAACGGTGGATGCCTCCGAGGCTCGGACGCTCCCAAGTGAGCACACCCAGGAGAAGCCAATTAGGGGAAGAGAGCTGGACCGGAGCAGAGCCGGAGCAAGCCTGGGGCTCTGGAGGTGCGGCCCGCCCCCAGGCGGCCTCTGGGAGCGGCTTGGACTCCGCAGTACCAGAGCCGGAGCCGTGCGCTCCTACCCCGCTACCCCACCCCAATCCACCCCACCCCAGACGCACACGGCCGGCGGGTGACTGCCCCCGCCAGCACCACCCCACGGCGGTGCGAAGGGAGAGGAGAGAGCGAAAGGAAAGCCGGCAGAGGATAGGGCGCAGAGCCCAGGGTCCCGGGGAAGTCTCGTCCTCTGTGGGACCCCAGGGCACGGGCGGCCCAGTGGGGGATGGAAGGGGTACAGCTAGTGGTAAAGGCCAAGGCGGCGGCGGCACGCAGGCGAGGCCCCTTTAAGGCTCTCCCCTCCCACCGGCGGCGCCGGCCTCCGCCCGCCGCTCTCCCCGCCCCGGGGTCCCGGCGAGAGCTGCGATTGGGCGCGCGCGGCGATCCCTTTGAAGTGTGGCTGCCGATCGCGGCTATTTGACGTGCGGCTCGCGGAAGGCGAAGGTTTTTGTGTTGCTCGCCGGGGCTAGCGGCGGCGGCGGCGGCGGCGGGGCTGCGGCGGCGTCGGTGGAGGAGGGGTGGAGGCGCAGCGACTGCTGCACCGCGCCCGACGCTGCGGCGCGAGCCCACCCGCCCCGGGAGCTCGCCTCCCCGGTGCGCCCCCTCCCTCCCCGCCCCCCCAGTGGCGCTGCCTCCTCCAAATGAGCGATTCGCCCGCTGGATCTAACCCAAGGACACCCGAAAGCAGCGGCAGCGGCAGCGGCGGCGGCGGGAAGAGGCCGGCGGTGCCGGCGGCGGTGTCCCTCTTGCCCCCGGCGGACCCCCTGCGCCAGGCGAACCGGCTCCCTATCAGGGTCCTGAAGATGCTGAGCGCTCACACCGGCCACCTCCTGCACCCGGAGTACCTGCAGCCGCTGTCCTCCACTCCCGTCAGCCCCATTGAGGTCAGTCTCCTGGTCGCTGCCCGCCCGGCGCCGGCCCCATTCCGCCCACCACTGCCGGGCCCACGGCCCTGCTCCCTGCGCCCTGGGGCTGGGTGCGACGCTCCAGTCTGGCCACGCTGGCGGAGGGAGTAAGGAGGGACGGAGAACAGGGATCAGAGCCCACCCGGTTTTCCCCGGGCTTCTCCGTGGAAGGTTCCCCTTCCACCCTCGCCTTTCGGAGCTACGTATTTTTTCTCCGATTGGGTTTGCTCTTGGAGTCTCCACTGGGTCCTTTACTTTTTTTCCAGCACCCAGTTTCCAGGCCAGAGATGCTCTCTCCCGGGCCTTCCCCCTCCCCCATCCCGGTTTGATCTCTCTGAAGCTCGATCGCCCCCGTCCTACTCCGCCTCTGTCCCATCCGGTTAGAGCTCACTACGCCCTGGCACTCCCGATCCCAGGTCTTTCTTCCTCCCACTTCCCTGGGTGCCCTCCCCGGGAGGGAGGGGCTCATAAGAGAGCGCCAGCGGCGGCGCTCGCTTCAGAAAGCGCTTCTCCCCGCTCCTACCCGCGGCGCCACAGCCAGAAACCCGTCCCAAGCGAAGTTCCCCAAACTGAAGGAGTAAGTTTTTCCCTGGACATAGGGAAGGAGAGTGACAGCCTGTCCTCAAGCCCCGACTGCAGAGAAGTCACCATCTCCCGCGGTGGCCTTGGGTGGACTGCTTCCACTGCCCCACTCCCCAGGGCCTGTGGCGCACTCCGGGGCCCCGTGGAGCGAGGGATCCCGCCGACGGGCAGTGTGAGCACAGTTCTGCCCAGGCGCCGCGCCCGGCGGGCCCTCGCTCTCGGGTCCTCTCCCCAAGACCTTCCCGCCCGTCGCGCCGTCTCCGGGGGTCCCCGCGCCCTGCCCCCCAGCTCCCCAGCCACCCCCGCTTGCTCCGTGGGTCCCGCAGTCTCACCCCCTTCTCCCTCCCATTGCCGCTGTCTCCCACAGCTGGACGCCAAGAAGAGTCCGCTGGCGCTGCTGGCCCAGACTTGCTCGCAGATCGGCAAGCCGGACCCGCCGCCCTCGTCCAAGCTCAACTCGGTAGCGGCGGCCGCCAACGGGCTGGGAGCGGAGAAGGACCCTGGCCGCTCCGCCTCGGGCGCCGCCTCCGCGTCCGCGGCGCTCAAGCAGCTGGGGGACTCCCCAGCCGAGGACAAGTCCAGCTTCAAGCCCTACTCCAAGGGCTCCGGAGGCGGCGACTCCCGCAAAGACAGCGGCTCCTCCTCGGTGTCCTCCACCTCCTCCGCGTCCTCCTTGTCCCCGGGAGACAAGGCGGGCTTCAGGGTCCCCAGCGCCTCCTGCACGCCCTTTCCCCCGCATGGAGCGCCGGCCTCCGCGTCGTCGTCCTCGTCCTCGCCCGGTGGCTCCCGGGGTGGCTCCCCGCACCACTCTGACTGCAAGAACGGAGGCGGGGGTGGCGGCGGGGAGCTGGACAAGAAAGACCAGGAAGCGAAGCCCAGCCCGGAGCCTGCGGCTGTGAGCCGCGGCAGCGGTGGGGAGCCCGGCACGCACGGCGGCGGCGCCGAGGCCGGGGCCTCCGGGCGCAAGTCGGAGCCGCCCTCGGCGCTGGTGGGGGCCGGCCATGTGGCGCCGGTGTCGCCCTACAAACCAGGCCACTCGGTGTTCCCGCTGCCACCCTCCAGCATCGGCTACCATGGTTCCATCGTGGGCGCCTACGCCGGCTACCCGTCCCAGTTCGTGCCTGGCCTGGATCCCAGCAAGTCTGGCCTCGTGGGAGGCCAGCTGTCGGGGGGCCTGGGCCTGCCTCCGGGCAAGCCCCCCAGCTCCAGCCCGCTCACCGGGGCCTCCCCGCCCTCCTTCCTGCAGGGATTATGCCGTGACCCCTACTGCCTGGGAGGTTACCACAGCGCCTCGCACCTCGGCGGCTCCAGCTGCTCCACTTGCAGTGCGCACGACCCGGCTGGGCCCAGCCTGAAGGCGGGGGGCTACCCGCTGGTGTACCCCGGGCACCCGCTGCAGCCCGCCGCGCTCTCGTCCAGCGCCGCTCAGGCCGCGCTCCCGGGCCACCCCCTCTACACCTACGGCTTCATGCTGCAGAACGAACCGCTGCCGCACAGCTGCAACTGGGTTGCGGCCAGCGGGCCGTGCGACAAGCGCTTCGCCACCTCGGAGGAGCTGCTTAGCCACCTACGGACTCACACGGCCCTCCCGGGCGCAGAGAAACTTCTGGCCGCCTACCCCGGGGCCTCGGGCCTGGGCAGCGCCGCCGCAGCCGCCGCGGCCGCCGCCTCCTGCCATCTGCACCTCCCCCCGCCCACCGCGCCAGGCAGCCCCGGGTCGCTGTCCTTGCGGAGTCCACACACTTTGGGGCTAAGCCGGTACCACCCCTATGGCAAGAGCCACTTATCCACAGCTGGGGGTCTGGCCGTGCCGTCCCTCCCCACAGCCGGACCCTACTACTCGCCATATGCGCTGTACGGACAGAGACTAGCCTCAGCCTCCGCGCTCGGATACCAGTAACCACAGCTCTGCCCTCCCCAGCCCTCCGCCCCGCCGCCCTGCCCCGCCGCTCGCCGCCGAAGCCTCCGCTCCTGCTTGTCCCTGCCGGCGTCCCGCCCAGCCCCTCCCCGCCGGACTGTGTATTTATTTACTATAATGTTAGCTTACAAGCTGGGAATATAAGTGCATTATCGGCCCACACGAGTCAATGGTATGCAAAAAGTCTGTGTTCCCCCAATAATAATATTAATCTCAAATAACTACATGTTCCCCGCCCCTCTTCCTTTCTTTTATTTTTTTCTTTTTCTTAGATGTAAGTTTTAAATATTTTTCCCTTTTGCTTTTTTTTTTTTTTTGGTTTGGTTTTAGGGGGAGGAGGGAGTTGGGGTTCCGGGGTTCTTCTACTTGTTTTGTTTTCCCTTCCTGGGGAGTTTCTTGCATGCTTCTTAACCGTTACAACTACATTTCCCCTTCTCTTTTCCCCTCTTTCTCCTTCATTCCCTCTTGTTCCTTCCATTTGAGGTTCCGTTTTTTCTTTGTTCGAGTAACAGAGAGGAGATTTTTTTGTAACGCATTTGGGGGTGCAGAGAGCGGCCTTGGTGGCAGGAGGTCGTGCGCTCTGGTGACCCGGGACTCTGCTCTGTGACTCCTCCCCTGCGACCCTCTCCTCTTCGGGTCCTTGGTCTGTGCCCTGGCTCCCAAAATTAGAGCCTTGCACCCCTACCTTGCTCTGAGCCCTGGAGAGCCCTGACCCCACAGCAGGCGCCCCCTGAGAGAGGGGCCCGCGTGGCCTCCCGCAGAGCCTTTCTACCTTCCAGACCCTTCCCGGCCCCAAACACCTGGTGGCCACATTGCCCCCCGGGTGACGGGGGGGCCTGTAGGGCTCATCTTATTCAAAGTCCTAGAAGGCCCTGCTGGCCTGAAACTTTGCTCTTTATATTTTGCGAAGTGCTTTTATAGTCCTTGTTTTTCTTTCCGTTGTTGGGGCAGAGGGCCCTCTCCTGGCGGCAGGGCAGGGTCGGCGTGTCTGGCTGGATCCTGCCAAGGCAGACCAGTGGCAGTGTCAGCGGGCCATAGAACCTTGTTAGCTCCGTTGGGGGAAGGTTGGGGAGTCAGGGAGCACACGGATCGGATCGCAGCAGCCACTTCGCCCCCTCCCAGGCCTGACCCGACAGAGTCCCCAAAGTTGGCCGGGGGCTTCCGTGGGCTCCCTCAGTGGCTGGGATTGAAGACTCGGGCCCCTGGGTCTTCTCCCCACACCGTCCCTCCCTCCTGGTCTTACGCAGCAGCGCGGGGGCTGCGGGGCCTGTTGGGATGAATAGAGTTCTCCCTTGGTAAGACTTATTTTGTTAATAAATGGAATACTTGGCTATATTCACACCGTGGTGTGTTTCTCTCTTGCCTCACCCACTGTCCCGCTTCCAGACGACTGAGCAGATGCCCCTCTTCTATTCTTGTTTAAAATACCTTATGGTTTCCTTCTGAGATTTCCGTTCAAGGACGAGTTGAATGCCTTTCCTTAAGAAAGGGGGGAGAAAAAAACAAAACTTCTGCCAACGCATTACAAATAACATAAAACCGCCTTTATTATTTTTTTTTTTCCACTTGGCTATTTAGCTCCCAGCCTCACTTCACAAGCCTTGACATTTCCTGGGGACAGGGTGGAGGGAGTGTGTCCATGAATTTTCCTCTGGGCCCAGATTTGAGGTGCAAGGGGCCAATAAGGGATCCAGGACCCAGGGCTCAAACACACTCGTGGCTGCACGGTCGGGGAGACCTCGGGCGGGCAAAGACAACGTGCCTCTGGCGCCACCTGGTGGCAGAAAGACGAGCGACTGGCCCCGGCCCCGACGGCTCCTTTGGCGCTTTCCACTCTAAATGCGGACTGTTTCCTGACGGTGACTTTTATACTCCAGGAAACCAAAGGGCAAATGCACCTGCTGAGAAGGGTGCTTCGCAAGGCTAGTGGGCTCTCCAAGGACAGCGCTGGGTTGTCGACCCCAGCCACCTGCGCCCCTAGAGACTTGTCTGAATGGCGTTTGTGTTTTGCTGAGAAGGCACGACTGTTAAGCAGAACCTTGAAGCCACTCTCCGTCCCTGTTTTCTTGAGCTTCTACCACTGACATTGGCTTCTGCATCCTGGGGCGGGCGAGGGTGGGGGTGCAGTTTATTGGGATGGTGGGACGAGGGCCGGGGCACCTCCCCACTGCGCGGGAGTCCCCGAGGCCGAGGCCGGAGGAGAGGACGGACGGCTGCGGAGGCCGCACTCCTCCAGGGGAGCCCCGGGCAGAGCTGGGCCTCCGTGGTGCCAACTCGCTCCTCCTCGGCGGCGAGAGCGGAGCGCCCGGGGAACCCAGGCCCGCCCAAGTGCCCGCCGCCCCCTCCGGCGCCCAGGGCCAGGGCGCGGGCTCCGAGCCACCTGCGCCGAGGCCGCGCTGGGCCACCTGTTGGCGCGCTTCCAGTGGCCTCCCTCGCCCCCTCCTGGCCGCGCTGCTCTGCGTCGGCCCCGCGCAGCTTTGGGTGGTGGTGTTACTGTTGTGTTATTTTGCTTTTGCTGTGAGGAAAGCGACTTATTAGGCAGTTCGTGCCCCGCAAACTGCGTGCTTCCGAAACGCCCGTTGGCCAGAGGTCAAGTGCGGAAGGGGGGGGGAGGGGTGCTCTCTGCCCGCTGTTTCAGTAGACGCCAAACTCCACTAGCGAATCGCAGGGCGGGCCTCGGCCCCACCCGGCTCCCTGCCCTCGGGAACTGACAGAACCTCAGCGTTAGACGATTTTGGTGGGGGGATTGGGGCCCTCTATCTTTGTTTCCGGGCAAAATTCCTTCCTCAGTCCAGAGAACCTCAAGCTTCTTCTGCAGAAAATGTCAGTGCTGGGCACCATACGGCCCTATGTGTGTCCTAGGGAAGGGACCTGCGCTGCTGGCGTCGTTGGGCCGAGTCAGAGAGAGGCTGAATGAGCTGGAGAAGTCGCCCTGGGTCTTCCTAGGGAATTATTATCCGATTTTTCAGAGTTCGTGTTGGCCCGAATCTTTAAAAGACCTATGTGGCAACTTGCGTTATTTTTGCTTTTTCTCTGTTGTTTTGTTTGCTGTTGGTTCTTTCCCATCTTCCCTTCCTTTCAAGTCCCCCTCTTTCCTTCGGATACCTTTTTTTTTAATGCCTGCTAAGTCTGCTGGCAATTGCTCCCTCTGCAGGGAGACTTAAACTTTATGGTCTTCTAGTTGGGACCAGAGAAAGGAAGAGACTGAATATTTCCAATAGCAAGCTCTCCATCTAGCAAAAGAAACTTCTCTAGCTGCTTGGCTTACAGATGAGGTGTGAGAACACAGGTTAGAAATTCCTGAGAGGACTGAGTTTCCCCCAGAAAGAGTATTAGCGGCCTTTGTAGACCAGGAAGGATGCCGTGGACCTGGGTGGGAATGGCTGCCCCCAACTACCATTGTGACACCAAAGAGCAGGCATTGTAGTCTGCAGTGTCCCAGGTCTCACCCTGAAAGCTCAGCTCTCCCCACTGTGAATGGGTGACAGTCCTAAGAAATGTGGCTGTTTTAATTAGCTGGTGGCGAGTTTGTTACTTTGAGTAGCTAAATTCTCATTAAAGTTGCTGTTTTAATAGACATAATCCTCCCCCACTAACTGCCTATTTGTGTAATTAATTCATCCAGCAACTCTTTTTCTTTGAGAATCACCTCCACCTACTCTTATCCGCCTCCTTCTCTTCCTAACCCTCCCCGCCCCCGCCCTCTCCTAATCTCTCCCAGGCGCCAGAAATGGGGCCTGTGTTCCCAAGGCACCAGGAAGGGTGGAAGCCACAGAGCTGGAACTTGAGACACTGGACGTTCCTGGCTGCAGGTCATATTTTCACACCTCTTGCCTGGTTATTTTTGTGGCCTCGTGGGCAGCAGTGGGAGGAAAGGAGGAGCAGAGGGAGGGGAGAGACTCACCCTCACATGTAGGTTTGACACAAACAGAATTGTGCGGGGTTACGTTTGTAATTTCCCAGTCGTCCCCCGACAAACCCTGAGAAATCTGTAGGCCAGGTGGGAGGTGTGGAGCCTTTCACCATCTTTAGGCAGCCTAAAGGTACCTGTCTCGTCCTACCCAACACACCCAGTGCACTCCTCATATGAACTAACTCCTTCCTGATGGATGTCCGGGTTACTGCAGAATCCGTCTTACAATAATCCCATGGCTCGGCACTTTATTAATCATTCTGTAGGGGAAGCTGCACTCCAGTTTTCTGTTTGATTTGATCTCATTCATCCTGTCTTTCTGCAAAATAGATGGTTGAGTGCATCCGATAATGTATGGTTTAATTTGGAGCACTATGGGTTTGAATTACCATTTTCATAATGTGCTGTGCATTAATGTGTTACATCATTTATAAAGAGAAATGTGCTGGGTTTCAAACTTTCTCCTGAAAGCCAAAGTCACCTAAAGGAAACACAGCCAAATAGCATCGACCCATCTTCCTACCTCACTGCCAGAGAAACTCCTGCCTCCCCTACCGGGGTTAGATCTGCCAACACTCATAAAACCCAACACGAGGCTTTTGTGTGCACAGAATGCAGGTGGGTGTCAAGGTTTAAGGGGAACTTGCACATGGCTGCCCTGGAGCCATCAACGGGCAGGACAAAGCTTCCCCTCATTATTGCATAACAACGGCTTTGCAGCCAACCCCGTTGGAGGAGACCTCCAGTGGATGGCTCTCCTTCGACCCTAATCCAGCACTCCCTCCTCAATGGCTGTAATAACACCAGCTGTCTGTTACTCAAACTCTGACTGAGGAGGAAAAAGCACTGATTATCCAAATACAGTCATTAAAGGGGAAATGTGTTTTTAGGACTGTCAGAGTGATTAATGAGGGCTAGCCGTCTTTGCAAATGTACTTGTTTAGTCTAACTGGCAGCTTCTATTTTCCTATTGATTTATTGCAGCCGTTGCCGGGCCTTGGTGTGTGCGAAGTCAGGTTACTTCACAACTGTGCCCTGTTTAAACAGGAAAAGCATGCACCATTTTGTCCAGGAGGGAGGGAGCAGCCGAAAGTCTCTCCCTTCAGTTCAGTCTCCAGGGGCCCAGACCAACAAAGAAGACATTAAAAAGCTGCAGCCCGGAGAGGGAAGGAAGCTGCCTCCCCTCGAGTGTCCCCAGTCGCTCAGTTCCAAGGTCAGTGGAGACGCACCATGGCCCCTGGACAAAGCCGGCCCCATTGTCACACTCAGCATGCCCACATTTTCTCCTCCAGTCCCCCCAAACCAGCTGTCAGCCACTGGGTCCAAGTACAGGAAAAGCACCCAGCAGAGGAGGATGCCTGGGAGGGGGTGATGGGGCAAGGCCAGGCAAAAAACAGAACCAAAGCCGCCCCGTAGTCCAAGGGTGGGAGCAGGGCCAGGAGCTTTGTGGGAAATCGACGGAGTCCCAGGGTTGATTTCAACTTTTAAAAAGAGGTGGTGGAACCACAGATGTGATATCTACTTCTTTCCACTTGTACAGTTTATGTTTTGACAAATGATGTATCTAATGACCAAAATAGAGAAATGGCAGCTCGAAAAGAGAGTCCCAGTATTTGGGGATGATATTTCCAGGCGGTCAATCATCGCAGCAAACAATTTACAGAATTATGCTTACGTGCCCAGCACAATGCCGGATGCCATGACGCAGAAGAAAACTCGGACAAAATTCCTGCCCGATTTAGGGAGACAAGACATCCCCATGAGACAAGGAGAAAGATAGCATTGTACATAAGTGCATTTATGCTGATCTAGTAAAGGGCTAAATCGTCCTGGGCAGACAGTGAGAAGAGGGCAGGATTCAGTAAGGTGCTAATCGTGCCCATCAGATGGTGGAGCTGCAGGAGCCAGATGGGAGCCCACTGCGGGTGATGTTGGGGACCTTCCCATGGGAGCTCCAATCTGGTGGGAGGCTCCCCAATTCCTCCTGGGCCCGTCCTCTTTGAAGACTGAAAGAAGGCTGAGGTCTTTATTCCACAGCTGTCAGAGGGCTGGAACTGGAGCCCCTGAGCCTGTAATTGCCATTTCTAAAGCAGAGCAAGGAGCAGACTTCCCTAATGCCGTATCCAACGGAGCCGAACTTTCTCCCACTCGCTCTCTCCCTAATCAGCCTGCACCTTCCACAGAGCACTCCAGGCATGGAAACGGTTTGTCCTTCTTCCTAAATGAAGTGCTTTTCCAAGTTTTCCCAGGGTGGTGGCCTATCCCCAGCATTATTAACGCTTTCTAAAACAGGAAAGGCTGTCAGTGGATTTTGATCAACAGATGAGCCAGGAAAACTTTCTCTTAAGAGAAAAGAAGTTGAGCCTGCTGGCTGAGAGACAAGGAAGTGACCATATTTTATAAACTTCAAGTTGGAGACAAATGGC